ACTACCGCGGCATGATGGCCCCTAACCCTAGCACGTCTGGGCAGCGGCGGCTCAGACTAATCTATCGATTTTCGGCCTCATACCATATAAGTACTTTGCACTCGTTTTGGACCGAGAAATCCTATCCCAACTCAAACCTACCTGGTCAGTTCTTGGGCACAACCCAAACCCAAACCGAACCAAACTGGCTTTCCATCTCTCAATCCAATATAGAGACCAGACCTTCATATACATAGACCAAATCAAAAATCAAAGAGACCAAAACTAAGATTCGAAAAAAATTACTATTCCCAGATTTACATGAAGCTCGAGTGAAGTGCACGACACAGCCACCCTCTAGAAATAATCGACCCCGGCCGCCGCAAATCTCTGGCAATCTGTGGATCCCGACGTCCACCACGATCGACGTCAATGGGGCAGAAAGGCAGGAAGCGTAAGGGCATCCCTCTCCTCCTCCCAAGTCGAAGATCGCCCGTATCAGTGAGCCTCTGACCTAACTGATCGACTCCACGCCCGATTATATATCTGAATGAACGGGCGGTTATTAGTTTTTCCCTGGTAACCCTCCCTCACTGCCTGAGTTTGCTTGCTTCACTTGCGTGCAGTTGACAAGTTGGGTCATAGTGGGGCCATCTTACTGCTGTTTGAGACACCCTCTGGCTTCGCCGTATTCGTGTATGATGGTGTCCAACTCTACTAGCAAAAAGCCAAGGAGGTAGTATGTTCTTCCTTCTGCTCATTTACTTGCTTGCCGGCTTTTTTTAGAAAAGGAGGAAGATCCCCGACCTCTGCATCTGGACGATGCATGCAGTCACTTTATTAACTATTTACACAAGACCTTACAAAGTCATATAACAGTAAGACTAAAGCCCCCGTCTGGCAACATCTGTCGCTACTCCTATCCAGTTGATGAAGGGATGCTGATAGTCTGGGCCTAATACTAAACAGACCTCGCAGCCAAAACTAAACATCTAAGACCCGAGGTCCCAATCAGGATGCCTGCCGGGTATGGGCCACCTACCAATCCGGCGCACTCCTCAACTAGGACGCCTGCCGGGTATGAGGCCGCCGCATACTTGCTTGCCAGCTGATCTTGCCTTGTCATTCACCTAACCTTCTGGATTTTCCTGCAGAAAATCTGGGCCAACTTTGTCAAGGACTACATGCCGCACAAAGTCTGTACACATTTCTTTCCTTTGCATCAAAATAATTATCATTTTCCCATTTTTTTGTACTCTGTATTCTTGTATATTGAGGTCATTAGTTGTTTTTTTTCTTTGTATTCTGTTGGCAGAGCATATAGTTGACGCTGTTGCAGGCATGCCAAAAAAGACCTTTTTTTCCCTGAAAGTTCAACATTGTGTGAGCAAAGCGATTTATGAATAATCACCTGGTACAGGTTGGAACGTAAGGAGTGTATTGCTGTGCATCAATTTTTAGCTAGTAGTAACTGCTAGCTAGATATAATATGGTTTAGCCCTGAGACTACCAAAAAAGACCACTCGTGTCCATGCATTTTGAAAGACATTATCTTAGCTCATGAAGTTATTTTCATTTACGTACGCTGCACGAAAACCAGGACTTGGATAAGGCTATATCTTCTTAGACATAACTACTGAATTGGCCTCCTCTCATGATTTAGAGTTTGAATAATTATTATTATTTACTTTTCATATCTTGATCAGGTCATTTGGCTACAAGAGTTCAGGAGATTCGAGAACAAGGCCAATGTATTTAATCATACTGGTGTCAGCAAAGAACTTGCAGAGATGATCCAAAGATGGCACGCCCCTGGTCAGCTGCTAGCTGTCGGAAAGCCTGAGCACAAAGAAATCATCGAAGCAAAATTGGTCAGTATTAATTAGCTCCCTTCTTTGCTTACTATGTCCAGGAGCAATTTTGAGCAATACTTTCACCGTGGCAGAAAATACGCTGCCTGTATAATGAAGCTGTGTTGGAGGTCATGTGGGGCATAAAAAATCTCATGAAGAGTTTAGTGCCTCTTGAAGATGGTGAGCTGAGCAAAGAAGACCGGCTTCCGATGAGTTATGGGATGAAAACTGTCCTCAATCGTCATGGATTCGATGTCACGCCGGAAATGGTGAGAATACCTTTCGCTTAATGTCCCCCTACGTCTGGCATGAAATGCTCTGCTTTATAGCTCCTTGACATTCACTTTCCAATAGTTCGCTGCAGTGACCGAAGTTTTCGATGCAATGTTATTCGTCTAGATGTTTTCCTTTTTGCAAACATTTTTCTGCTAGAGAGATGATTATGCAATGCTCCTTGTATCCTGCCAGGTTAATGACAAGATTATCGAGTATGCGTGCGTCTTGTATGACTGCTAGTTAGTATGCGGGCCCAAGCATTCTTGTTGAGTAACGTGATTGTATTAGGAAACATAGGTTAGACTAGGAAATATTCTGGCTTGCCTTGTACTCCAAGTAGATCATTGTACTCCTATATATATGCCCACGAGGCTCAAGCAATACAACAACAATTCCATCAATCCCTCTCTCCCTTCTAACATGGTATCTATCGCAAGTCGATCCTAAACCCTAGCCGCCACCGCTTCCGCACCTGCGCGCTGCCCCCGGGGCGGTCGGTCTCCTTGACCGCCGCCGGGGGCCGCGCCGCCCGTACCTAGGGTTCGTCCGCCGGTCGTGTTGACCGGCTGCCCTAGAGAGTCTTTTTCCCGATCCTTTGATCCGGGTTTTCTCTCTCGCCGGTCGCTTTGATCGGCGTCTACTTTTTGGTTTTCCGGTCTTTGTGATCCGGTTTGCGTCGCCCACCGCCGCCGTCGACCCCGTGCGCCTCTACTCCGACTTCGGCATCGACTACACCGGCGTCTTCACCGACCTGGCGGCCTCGCGCGTCGTCCACACGTCTACCCGCCGGTCGCCCCGACCCGGCGGCCTCGCATCATGCGGCGGCCCTTCACCGCCGCCGTTCGCGCGACGGCCCGCCCGTCGATCTACGCCGGCCGTCACCGCCTGCTCCGACCGGGACTCCTGCATCACCCCGACCCGGCGGCCTCGCGCCATGCGGCGGCCAATCATAGCCGCCCTGCCGCCCGCCGCCGCCGGCTTCATCTCGGACTCCGCCGCCACCACGCCTTCACCGAGCGGTGTCCCCGACCTCGCGCGCGATCGGCTTGATCACCCGCTCGCCGCCGCTATCAGCCTCATCTACGCCGCGCGACCGACCTGGCCCGTCGGTTACGCGCGCCTTCGCAGGTCCCGTGAAGATCGTCTTCGAGTTCAGCGCGCCCCTCCGTCGATCGAGCAACGGGCTGCCGCTGCGTCGCCCCGTCGGGCCGCAGCGCCGCCGCCCCGTGGTTCTCCTCCCGGCTGCACCAACCCGCGTCACCGCTGCGTCGCCCCTTCGGGCCGTAGTGCCGCGGCCCGCGGTCTACCGCCGCCCCAAGGTCGTCCACTCCAGGCCGTCCCCGTGGCTGCACCGACCCTCGCGCCGCGGCTGCGTCGCCCCGTCGGGCCGTAGCGAGCGTGGCACGCGGTCCACGCCGCCGTCTCGAGGCCGTCCACGCGGTTGCACCACCCCGCGCTCCGCCGCTGTGCCGCCCCTTCGGGCTATAGCACCGCGGCCCGCGGTCCCTGCGACCGTCCCGAGGTCTTCCGTCGTCACCCCGACCTGCCCGCCGCCGCCGCGTCGCCCCTTCGGGCCGTAGCGCCGCGGCCCGCGGTCCACCGCCGTCACCGCGCGTCGACCTCCCGTGGTATGCGCCGCGCCGTCTCCCTTGGCGCGGGAACACCACCGTCCACGCCGGTCTTCGTCATGCTGTCAGGGTTCTTCGCCTACGTCGAGCACCGCCGCCGCACTCCTAACCTAGCCGCTGCCGCCGCCTTCAGGCCGCCGCTGCCGCTCTTCTTTGGCCGCCGCCGCCGCTACCTTTGTAGCCGCCGCCGCCGCCCGTCCACCCCCTTCGTCTTCGTCCAGCACTAGTTCATCACCAGCGTCGCCGTCATCTACCCCGACCGCTTCATCTACTCCGACAACCGCGGGCGACATTGGCCCCGCGCCGATTGGCGCCGCAACCGTCGTCGAGTCCTTCTCTGCTGGCCTCTCCGACTTCTCCGACATGGTGTATAGCTCGTGCAGGTCCCTCGTCTACGCATGCCCGGTGCTGGCAACACCGCCGCGTGCCTTCGTCCACGACGTGTCCCCGGGCCTGGCAAGCCTGGCGCGGCGCTTCGTCAACTTCGTCTTTGTCCGTCTACGCATGCCCGGTGCTGGCAACACCGGTGCGTGCCTTCGTCCACGATGTGTCCCCGGGCTTGGCAAACCCGCCGCGACGCGTCGTCAACATCATCTACTTCCTGGCGCACCACTACTTCGACACCACTGCGCCCATGCTAACTCGGCGCCCCCTTGCGCCCGCGGCTCCACGGCGACTTCCTCGACACCGGCTACCCCGACTCGACATCGACCACGGCATTCTTCGCACGGCTACCTCGACCACGGCTCCACCACCCACGCTCTCGGCTACATCGACAAACGGCACAAAGGGCTACCGCCCGCTTGAGCAACCTCGTTGGTTTCCACTCCGGCCACGACTCAGCGATGCATCGACCGTTACGACTGTGGGGGGTGTCCGTCGGCTTGCCTTCGGATTCTTCTCCAGTCTCACCGTCTGCATCGCTACCGTTGTGACTGCGGGGGGATGTTGAGTAACGTGATTGTATTAGGAAACATAGGTTAGACTAGGAAATATTCTGGCTTGCCTTGTACTCCAAGTAGATCATTGTACTCCTATATATATGCCCACAAGGCTCAAGCAATACAACAACAATTCCATCAATCCCTCTCTCCCTTCTAACAATTCTGAATGTTTGCAAAGATGTGGTGAGATCCTCCAAGAGGTGTCCGGCATTCAGTGTGAGGGATGGAGCGTGATGAAAATTGCGACAGCTTTGAAGATTTTAATCTTCCCTCATGACGATGATGATGACGATGATGACGACGATGATGATGAAGCATATCCCGAACTGGTAAATCATAGACCAAGTACAATATTTTGTAAAATTGTTCTTAGCATCTCCCTGATGTAAACTTCGCATTCACTAAGTTGTCAGGACTCAAGAAAAGAAGTACTTCGCCCTTTTCCTTCAGTAAATACGCCCATGGTTGTTTATTTTCAGGAATTCTCAGAAGAAGAGCTCTGTAAGTTGAGGAATGATGGATCACTCTACGACGGAAAACTTCTGAAGCGGTCCTGTATGTGCGTGTACAACGAGATGGTGCGGGCCCGTAAACTTATGGCCACTACGGAGATACGACTGGAGCTGTTGATCCTAGAGTCCCAGGAAGCGCATCAAGAGCCTGAAACTGAACCGGGGTAGGATGTCAGATGGGTCTGTAAAAATCGTTGGCACTGTCCTGAATATATTATCAGACAGCTGAATAATTCATTACCTGACGCCTTGCGCTGTTGCTTCCTCCTGTCTCATATGCAACCTCAGCCTTCTCTTCCCCCTCCAGCTCCGGCGAGCTCAACAAATTATTATCAGGAGTATGGCTAGACTTGACTCTTGTCAGGAGTGACGTCCGCCATGATCTCATCGAATGTATTTGACGTTGTCGAGTGGGATTTATGTGTTCGTACCAAACTTCATGTAGATAGCCTCACTTCTCGACTACTCCCTCTGTAAACTAATCGTAAGCCCAACATCCTTGAACCTTAGCCCCCACATAGGACAACTTGGTGAAGTTGATAGGGATATTTCTCTCGAAAAGGTCCTCAGGGTGTATGCCGAAGGAGCCATGCTTGCGAACTAGTTCTCTTATCCTCAGTAACATGCTGCACCAAAATTTAGTATCAGGATTAGCTCTTAATACCCCACCAATTATATTTGCACCAAGAAAAGATCCGTTTAGCTGAGTAGCCAACTGCATTCCCAGAGATGCCAGTTTTGGGTACTCATCAGGATCCATGCTTCCAAAGGCAAGTGCCTTGAAGAAGTACCAGTATTCTTCTTGCGGCAAACTCTTCATCCTGATGGGTTGGGCAGTTCCCATTTCAGCAACTTAATCTGTTCTGCCTATCACTACAATTTTACTCCCAGCACCTGGCATCTTCTGCAGACATGATCGGAAGTTTTCCCATGCTGCCGCATTCACATCCCAACTGAAATCAACAACAAATAAGTACTTCCCCGAGCCTGCCTTGCAGTTGACCGCAAATTCTCCAATATGCGGGTCATCGCCTTTATAGAAAAACATGTCGGAGAAACGACCCCGCACCCTCTCATCCCTGCAAGAATGTTGCACCAGAGTTTTCTTTCCGACTCTGCACGGGCCGATGATCGGAAGGATGCTGAAATTTGTTCCATCATGACTATCAACACCGGATAGTAAGAAGTTGAGGAGTTGCTCTTTCTCGATGTGGCGACCAAACATGCACTTATCCATGTGTAGATACGTATCATATGGCTGGCGAGACAGGCGAGGGCAGCTGCCAAGGAGCATCACAAACTCTCTCATATCTGCAGTATGAGCCTCCAAACTTTCAACAACACTTTTCAACTTTGTTGTGCTCCCGGTCCCAAATGCTACTGGTGTGTTCTTTGATATAGAAGCAGCAAAGCGAAGGCGCTTGGCGGTATTAAAAGTAGAAACGGCAAAAGATTGGCTCCGATGACTCACCTCGTCATCTTCGATGCTCTCTTCTCCAAGAGACTGGACCCTGAGCCTGTCCAGCATGTAGTACCCAAGATACATACCCTCGATGAGCGCCTTCAGCTGCCGGAGCATCCCTCGATTTGTGATGTGCCGCCCCTCTGCTTCTTCAACAACGCTGTGCATCCTCAGCAAGATGCGTTCCAGCCTTGTACGATCCTCCTCCTCGCATGTGTGAGTGCCATAACTTTGAGCCAGGAAAGAGATGAACCTGCTGACAAGATCGCCCGCAGCTGCTGAAATCAGAACCTCCATGCTGAACTGAGCTGAGATGAGACCTCCCTGGGAGCAATGACCAAATGGAAGATAATTTGCAGATTAAGAGCAGCAACACGATCCCAGAGGTGACTTGAAGGGGCCGGTCAATAAAGGCTGCAGTCTTCCAGAAGCATGACTTCTTCAACAAAGCATAATCAGTGACTTAATGCAGTTCAAACAGTTGAATATTCCTACACCACAAAAAGTATTTATTTCAGTCTTCTGTTTATACATTTTAAAGAATGCAGCTGGAAGAACCATTTTGTGGTTTGTAAATATCAACAAGTCTCCTAATTCCACAAGTGGACTGCCTCAAAACAAAAACAATTACAGAAACTCCACAAATGGACCAAATACAAGAGTGTCACTTTCAGACTATTTTGATGTTTCTCTTATTTTGTGCAGATGAGCAAAAAGTTGACAAAATAAAGACAGCTACTGATGGGATATAAAAATAATAAGATGGCTCACCAACCAAATAAGGTTTCCTCAAAACTTGTCACTGCATACTCTTACTGCAAAAAATAAGAACATCGTAGTCACAGTATGCTGGCTCGTAGCACAGGTCATCATGGGCATTTCCCTGAACAATACCAATGGTTACTCGGATGCTAAGCTCTCCAAAACATTAACAAATTTAGCACCCATGGTCACTCACGATTTTGTTTTACGTAATATTCCTCTGTAAATACTTTATAGTGATCTAAAACGTCTTATATCTGTTTACAGAGGGAGTAACTATTAAGCACCCAGTAAGAATAAGGGAAAATAACCACGTGAAGTCCAAAACTGCAAAGCCTACATAGTATTGGTGGAAGGTGCATTGTACTATCATACTACACTGTAACAGCTACAGTACAATATATAGTATTTGTTTCAAAGAGGCAGTAAGGATGTGCAGGCATCATTATTTCAGATGAACTCACGACGACAAGTTGCTTGTTTTTCAGGCACGGAGATTATTCAGTTATGGTTGTGGCGAGAAAGAATCAGAAATTCAGAATGCAATGCCTAAGATAGTAAGATGCCCTTTACTCTGGGACCAGGGACGAGACAGAGCATGCATGCAGACGCAGCTAGCGGAAACAGGGGAGCTGCTTCAGGCATGCTCTGTTTCCGGCAACCAATGCAAGCCAATTTTTTTTGTACGGCCATCTTATTACATGCTCTAGAAGATAATTTTGCTATTCTAAAAATTTAGACCATAATGGGAAAGAAGAAAAAATTCAGACCATCTTACTACAGCTGGGTATATGCTCCTCGCAGCTCCTGTTGCTGTCATAGTTAGTAACACACTGATCATCTCAGCAATTGTATTTCTTTTCTTTTCTTGCGGATGGGCAATTATATTTCTGGTATAATCATTCACCTTCCTTTTTTTTCACCCAGGCATCCCCCTTTCCATTAATCGCTTTACAAAAAGATAGCAGTATCCAGCGTATTACAACCATTCAAAGACCAGCGCACCAGCAAAAACAAAAAACTACTACATTAGTGTCAAAAACGCTCTTCTATTATGGGACGAAGGGAGTGCAGACTACACTAGTGTCAAAAAACGCTCTTATATTATACTGTAGGACGGAGGGAGTCCAGGAAACCTGCACCTATTACAGGAGAAAAACCTGATACCACCAAAACTACCCAAACAGTATCATAGCAGTCTCACAAGACAGTAATAAAAAGACTAAAGCAAGACCAACAGACACATGACCAGACAAACGTTCCACGAACAAAAGCACCAGGCCACGATGAAGGATGAAGCGAGTCCCACGATCCTAGACTTTTCTCCTGAATCAGTACGCGATGATCGATGATATTCAGTACTGTAGTATTATTTCAGGGCAGCAAGCAGCACAAGAGGTTACAATAAACCATCACGTCATCATTACCAGGCCTGATCATTACACAAATCAACGACGGTTAGGACACATGCAACAGGCGCCGCTTGTGCCTGCATAGTTTTTAATCATCTCTAAACACCCTCTAATTAGCACAGTATATTACAAGCATGTCAATCCTACAACGGGAGCAAACCACAACACACCAAATTCCTAGCTATAAACATATTTATTTATTTATTTAATAACTACGCCTGCTTCTACATTACGGCTGTCGCGGTATTATCACAGCAACTCCTGGTGCCGACAAGCAGCAAAGCCCTTACATAAGCTCAGGTTCCATCTGAAACTGGAGAAAGCACAAATCACTCAAGCTCAGGTTCCAGTGAAAATCACTCAAGCTCAGGTTCCAGTGAATTAGATGGCCAGTGAGCAGACAGACAACTGAACCGACAAGCAGAAGCCCTTATAAGCTCAGGTTCCATCTGAAATTGGGGAAAGGACAAGTCAGGCTACAGAAATATCGTGGATCAACATAACACGAATCACTCGAGAATTAAGTTTCAGCAATAAAAACAGCGCACATACATGACATGAGCTTCTCCTCAGGACATGTCAGCACCATGCAGAAGACACGACCAACACTCTGCTCTTCCAACCAAGGTAAAGGACTCCGTCCCTCTCCTCAAGCCTGTAGCAACTGTGGTAGCTATCCAGCAGTGTTTTGATGGTGTTGTTCACCACCGAACTCAGCGGGTACGGCCTGAATCCAGCCATTGCAAACCTAGCCTTCCATTTCCCAAACACCTCATGCCTCTCAACCCTTTCAGCACCCTCACACGCGATTAAATTGACGATATCCCTTGCGACACAGTGCTGCTCCGTGCTAATCCGTCTCTTGTCATCCCTTGGGAGAGCAACGTCTATTGACTCAAACATTGCCGTATAGTAGTCGAGAGTCTCCAAGTACCTTGGCAAGAATGCACTTGTGTTTGTGTTCGACTCCTGCTCAACAAGAGTCACCACCCTAGGGGACAGGCTCTTGATCATTCTTGCAATCCTGTCCCGGTGATTTTCCACGCTCACGCTTTCATCAGGAGTATGGTGCAGCTGATAGGCAAAATTCACTACAATAGCCTCCCCAGGTCTTATGTCCAGATGCTGAATATAAACCTCATGGCTAGCAGCACGAACAGCATTGAACTCAAAGGGCAGGCCACACGAAGCAGAGACACTATGCAATTTTGTCCCAACCATATCCAGTCCACCACCTCGGGCATAAGCAGAGTTTGAGTCATCTATACCAGTGATTCTTAGGAATGGTGGACCCCCGGGCCTCGCTGCAAGAGCCTGAATGATAGTTATCCACTGGCTCCCCTGTGCGATTTGGAAATCAATGATGTGAATGAAGTTCTCGCCTTTGATAGCTTCTGCTATGGCACCATTGGCTGACATGTAACCAAACTTGTAGAATGGGCAGATCTCACAGAGGAGATGCATGTAAGACATGAGCTCAGAGCCTGTAGGTTCTTTGCACTTCAAGGATTTATACAGCTTACTTCCAGAGAAAGAGAGCCTGGCCACAAGCCCTTCCAACATGTATGCTCCTAGGCGTTGCATTGGATCTCCAGAGACAGACACCAGCTGACCTAGCTCAGATATCAATAGTTCTGTCACATACATATCATTCGCAGCAACAGCCTTACCACATGCTATGATCACCTGCTTCAAGTCTCCCGTGTCAATTCCCAAAAGCTGTCTCCAGTTATCTTGTTTCAAAGGATGGTTGGCTTGCAATAAGCTCTCGGGGCTGTCAGAGGCTATGTCCAATTCAGGTCCAAGAATTGCATTTTCTAGCTCCTTTAGTTTACTCTGGAAATCCGGTATCTCGGTAACACATGAAGCAGTTGGGGGTGAATCATATGTGTGGTATGAGTGGCTATCATTCTGAGACAGGGGGCTCCCACTTATAGGGGAGATGCTATGAGAAGATGTCGAACTCTGTGTAGGATAAACACCATTTGCTGATGATGATTCGAGTGTGCAGTACTGTGCTTCAAATACTTGAGGATTGGAACTAATTTTCTGTGACCCATCACCTGAAGATGTGTAGTGAACATCCAGATGATTTTGCATCATATAGAACCGTCCATTTTCTGCTAAAGGCACCGAGTTGTTGTAGTACGCCATTTGTGAATCATCTGAGCATCTATACGTACGTTCTGAAGCCTTAGCTGACATACTGGTGATTGCAACCTTGTGGGACAAGCTCAAAATGAAGTTGATCCTGCCATCTTTAAAGTAAGTATAATTAGTATGTTGCTATCATCAACTGCACACCATCAAAGTCACAGAAGCCAAGGAAGGAATGCATAAGCGCATCCTGAATCAATTTTGAAGTTAACACCTGAACTCACATCAATTTTACATGGGCATATGGTTTTGAACCAAATTATATTTCAGAAAGTATAGAGCAAATGCAATGAAGACCATATGTTCAAGTAGACAAACATCATTTCAACAAACTCATATAAATTTAATTGTTGACCAAACAGTGTCAAGCCACATCAATTTGAAGTTGATGTTTCTAATCATTTCACGGTAAGAAGTAAGAAGAAGCAATTTCACCATATGCTTTCTTGCCACTCCTTGTTTAGCTACCAATATTTTGATAAGACAATTGCGAATCAAACAGACTGAACGCAGGTTATTAGATAAAGGAAAGCTTTTATTGAACCTCAGAAAATCAGATCAAGATGATTCAATTACTGAGATTCTATTTTGAAATACATCAATAACAGCTCACATTCAAGGCCATAGTTCCACCATGTAATCATGTATACACCCCGCCGTCCCCTACCGAACATTGGTGGCTTCAGGCTTGTGCATAAGCCTGCTTCTGGCTGGCTGAGTGGCTGTGCAGAAGCCAAGTAGCAAAATGAACGGCTGACACGAATGCATTATTCTCTGGTCAATTTAGGCTCCACTTTATTCCCAGTTTGCTTTTAGGCTTTTTCTTTTTTCTTCCTTTCCTTTTAGATTATGTTTAATCGCCTAGTTGTAATTCGTTTTTGTTTTGTTTTGTTTGGTCGTTGTATCACTGGTGCTACCTTAGCGATGTGTTGCAGCCGTGTTCCAGAAAGAAAGAAAAAAAAAGCATCCCCACTTTAGCTGTCTTTTCATCTACTACAGCATAGCCAATAGCAACCAGCGAGAATTCAATCGATGCATTTTTTTTAAGAAACTAGGCATACTTTCATTCCCAATTTCGTCGAGAAGAAGCCTATCAAATTGGAAAAAAGAAATTGAATTATGAACCTGAGGGTGACCAGGCCCCATAGGACTTGAAGCAAGTGGATGAGCAGAGAAGCAATGGTATATCAAGAACAGGGCATAAATTAAATTACAGATCTTTCTCTTAAAAACAATAAAACAGACTATTATCACTGGGAATTTAGTTGTATTGAGCCGCAGATAAAATAGACTTCTATTTATACAAAGAAAATAATACACGAGTGTGACTAGAGATAATAGAGGCAAACAGCTAAACCTAGTTTATTCTTCCGAGGTGCGGCGTGGGGGCATTTTTTGAGGGGCAAACCGAGGACAAATTCATGAAATTGGTTAGCAGCAACAGCACAAAACGCCATGAACTTACAAAATTCAAGAGCAACCAAACAAGTAGCAGGGCTGCTGAGCAACATGAATCACATCACAAGCAAAACAAGCGCAAGAAAGACAGGGCAGGGCCGCCATACCTATGCGGCCATCAAGAAACAAGCGGCGGCGGCGGACAGGATCTCAGATTCTTGACCGGACAGCGCAAGAAACAAGAAACGGATGGATGGGCGGTCAGGGTAAGGGTCAGGGGTGGAGGTGCTCCGAGTAGTACAAGAGAGGGAGGAAGGAGATAGGGGGGATTGACGGAGGAAGAGCGGGCGGGGAGAGAAGGGGGAGGAGGGGAGGGGAAATGGGTGATGGAGACGGGTGGATGGATGGTGGGGAAGAAGAAAATGAGACGAGGCCTCTGGACTCTGGTTGATTAGAATAAGTAAAGTGGTAGCAGCATTACCAGCCGGCAGAACCGGCGGTGGGCCAGTGCTGGGGCCGCCGGTAGCACTGGATATTTTCCACCCGGGGACAGTAGCGGCAGCGATTTGGGGGGCGGGGCGGGGCAAAATTTCATGTTTTGACCCTTTTTGCAAATAAAATTAGAATCTGACCCCGTTCAAAAATATTTCGGGATCTGACTCTTTTGCCTATCGTCAGGGGGTTTGGCGGTAGGTTTGCACGTCCTATCGCCGCCCCCTCTGACGGTAGGTCCTTTGACGGCGACTGACGTGGAAAAGGGCCTACCGCCATCGGGTACGGCGGTAGGTTATTGAAGCCTACTGCCAGACCCTCTGGCGGTAGGGTCATGTGTGGTGGATAAGGTGGGAAGGGGCTTGTTTGTGGGCCCCACCACCACTCTTCTTCCCCACTCATCTTTTTCCTCGTGCTCAGCTCCTTTCCCCCATCTCTTCCCCTCACAAACCCCCCTAGATGCACTCCACTTGCTTGAGATTTCATCGGTGGATCCGGAGCATTTTCATCACCCAAGGTACCTCCCCCATTCCCCCTCCTTTTGATTGGTTGAGATCTTTATTTTGTGTTGATTTGGTCAATTTATTGCAAACCCTAGGTGTTGATGTTGTTGTGTGCATCTATGATGCATTTGTGGTTAGGGTTATGGTTATGTTAGGTGTTAGGGTTAGGGTTAGGGTTATGGTGGTTATGTTGGGGGTTAGGGTTATAGGGGTTATGGTTAGGGTTAGGGTTAATGGTTAGGTTAACTTTAGTATGAATAGTAGTTACTTGTCCAATTTATACAAAATTTAGTTCATTTGTACATTTGTGTTGGTTGGAGGACATATATGGATTGATTATATTGTTTCCAATTTCTTAGATGCATAAGCTCGTAAATGTTTATTATTTGGACAAGTCGACATTTATGCTTGGAAATGACGATGAGGGGGAAGAGGCTATGGTTTTTGACACAAGTCCAAGCTTTGATGATCTTGTAGTTAAAGTGAGAAGCATTTTACATGGGAATGTCTCAAATGCCGTGGTTAAGCTTATTGGGAGGTATGACGTTGGATTGGGAGTAAAGTCCCGATTAAAGAGTATGCCCATCACCTCCCAATTGCATTGGAATGTGTACAAGGAAAAAGTAGACGCATCACAAGACAAGTCTCTGTAGATCTTTGCCACAAAGGTTGATCCTCCTCCTCCTTTGCAAATTGATCTCAACCGCAATGCATCCTTCCCCATACATGATGATAGTGCCAAGGTGTATGTCCCCAATTGTTCTAGCCAACCACCAAGTAGCCAACCCAATGAAGATCATATCAATGCTAGCGCCATAGTACTCTGTCATGATGCTATTCCTCATGTGAAGAAGATGCTATTCCTCATGTTGAAGAAGATGCTAGTGGTCATGTTGATGATGATGCTATTGTTGCTCAAGAGGATGCTTACTCGGAGAATGAAGAGATTCATTACAATCCAATTGGTAACTTGGATGTCATTGTGCGGCAACAAGACACGGACCGTACCCTCCCTTATAACTGTATGTGTGGGTATAACTCGGATGACGAGGGTCCGGAGGAAGAATTGGATGAGGATGGGTTGACTGCGTAAGAAAATGAAATCTACAAGAAGGTGACCGGCAAGGAGAGAGGACCGCCGTTGTTTAGGGATGTGAGTCTTGCGGACAATGCCATCGTTGATGGTGGGCTGAGATTCTGGTTGTCTGAGCCAACGTCGTGCCCCAAATTCAGTGATCCTCGACCAGAAAATGAGGATGAGAATGCTCATTTGAAGAAAGGCATTGATGTCTACTACACAACCTTCTTCTTGTAGACGTTGTTGGGCCTCCAAGTGCAGAGGTTTGTAGGACAGTAGCAAATTTCCCTCAAGTGGATGACTTAAGGTTTATCAATCCGTAGGAGGCGTAGGATGAATATGGTCTCTCTCAAACAACCCTGCAACCAAATAACAAAGAGTCTCTTGTGTCCCCAACACACCCAATACAATGGTAAATTGTATAGGTGCACTAGTTCGGTGAAGAGATGGTGATACAAGTGGTATATGGATAGTAGATAATAGCTTTTGTAATCTGAAAATATAAAAACAGCAAGGTAACGAATGATAAAAGTGAGCGTAAACGGTATTGCAATGCGTTGAAACAAGGCCTAGGGTTCATACTTTCGCTAGTGTAAGTTCCCTCGACAATAATATCATAAATGGATCACATAACTATCCCTCAACATGCAACAAAGAGTCACTCCAAAGTCACTAATAGCGGAGAACGAACGCACAGATTATGGTAGGGTACGAAACCACCTCAAAGTTATTCTTTTCAATCAATCCGTTGGGCTATTCGTATAAGTGTCACAAACAGCCCTGGAGTTCATACTAGAATAACACCTTAAGACACAAATCAACCAAAACCCTAATGTCACCTAGATACTCCAATGTCACCTCAAGTATCCGTGGGTATGATTATACGATATGCGTCACACAATCTCATATTCATCTATTCAACCAACACATAGGACCTCAAAGAGTGCCCCAAAGTTCTACCGGAGAATCACGACGAAAACGTGTGCCAACCCCTATGCATAGGTTCATGGGCAGAACCCGCAAGTTGATCACCAAAACATACATCAAGTGAATCACGTGATATCCCATTGTCACCACAGATACGCACGGAAAGACATACATCAAGTGTTCTCAAATCTTTAAAGACTCAATCCGATAAGATAAATTCAAAGGGGAAACTCAATCCATGACAAGAGAGTAGAGGGGGAGGAGAAAGATAAGATCCAACTATAATAGCAAAGCTCGCGATACATGAAGATCGTGCCAAATCAAGAACACGAGAGAGAGAGAGAGAGTATCCAACACATAGCTATTGGTACATATCCTCAGCCCCGAGGGAGAACTACTCCCTCCTTGTCATGGAGAGCACCGGGATGGCCACCGGAGAGGGGTTGCCCCCTCCGGCAGGGTGCCGGAACGGGTCTAGATTGGCTTTCGGTATCTACGGAGGCTTCTGGCGGCGGAACTCCCGATCTATTGTGCTCTCATATGTTTTTAGGGTATATGGAGATATATAGGCGGAAGAAATACGTCAGGGGAGCCACGAGGGGCCCACGAGGGTGGAGGGCCCAGGGGGTGGGCGCGCCCCCTACCTCGTGGCCTCCTCGAAGCTTCCCTTACGTGCACTCCAAGTCTTCTGGGCTTCTTTCCTTCCAAAAATGGGTTACGTGAAGTTTCAGGTCAATTGGACTCCGTTTGGTTTTCCTTTTCTTCGAAACCCTAAAACAAGGTAAAAACAGAAACTGGCACTGGGCTCTGGGTTAATAGGTTAGTCCCAAAGATGATATAGAAGTGTATAATAAAGCCCATAAACATCCAAAACAGTAGATAATATAGCATGGAGCAATCAAAAATTATAGATACGTTGGAGACGTATCAGGCATCAAGTTTGGTTCTTTGGTAGAGTTCAAGATATGGTTGTGTGACTATGCCATTAGGAACCATAGGCCGTTTGTTGTTGGTCATTCAAATCAAAAACTTCGGTACACAGTCAAATGTGACTAAGAAGGTTGCAAATGGATGGTCCGCGGTAGAAAAATCAAGGAAACCGGGCAATGGGTGTTGAAGAGTCATGTTGGCACTCACACGTGCGTATCCAGGACAAGGCCGACCGAAGCAAAGGACACCGTCAACTCACGTCTGAGTATCTAGGATACAAATTATTGCATCAAATAGCACATGATTCAACCGTGAAGGTCAAGTTTCTCATGTCTTCGATTGAGGA